GCAGGTTTTTGTTTCTTTTTCTCATTTCTTTTTATGGAAGTAATTGCATTCTGCCCGACACCACAGAGAACTAGTGTAGACAAAATAATTTTCTCTGTATTGGCAATTGACAGTTTCTTCTATTTTTTTTTTTTTTCAGGACAGGGCTGCTCAACCACCTTCCAAAACTGAAGAGATTAGTATATGGTTTAGGGGGTCCTTGCCTTTTTGTATCAAAAAACCAATATTTTAAAAAAGAAAGTTCAATCTTAATTATATTCCAAATAAAGTATACTTTATTTATGGCAAACATGACAACTGTATGCCAAAACAAGGTCCAAAACACACTACAGAAATAATCCAGTTTGTAACTGCTTTAACTGGATTATTTCTGCAGTGTATTTTGGACCCAAGTTATATATAGTGTATTTCCTGTTCCTAAATTAACAAAGGGCCTTTACAGACTGCCAGAAATAGTGCACATTAAATTGAGGCACTGCCCTGGCTCAGTGCCAGAGAATCATGGGAACTGTAGTTTATTGTGGCACCAGAGCTCTCTGACAGAGAAGGCTCAATGTCTCAGAAAAAACACTTCCCATGATTCCCTAGCACTGAGCCAGGGCTGTTAAAGTGGTCTCAAGCTGCATTATTTCCAGCAGTCTGTAAAGGCCCAAAGTCAGACTTTCAATCTGTAATGGGTGCTAATAATACATTTTTCAATTCTTCCCTCAAATATTCTTTTTTTTTTTCTGAAAAAAATACCCCCGTTTTCCATGATTTTTTTTAAAATTTTACATCTCTACTTAGGCTGGCTCCCAGAACACAAAATGAGTATATTTAATTCTTTTTCCTTAATTTCCCCCACATAAAGCATACATTCAATGATGTGTTGTTGTTCCTTTAGTTATTTAAGCTTTTGAGCAATGCTTGTCACATCACTAATATCAAGGCACAAGACACTGTTGTCGTTTTTAGTGCAATTTATATGGCTACCCCTGTGGAAATTATACTTCTCTAGAAACTTCATTTCCTGTTTAAAAACAGTGGGATATTTAGCTTCTAGTGGAGCATTCATTATTTTAATAGGATCTGCAGGATTTCATGAAATCTTTGGAGTGGTAATCTTAAGAACCACAGTATGTAGTCCAGGGGTGACAACCTACGACCTTCTAGGTGTTTTCATACTGCACCCCCTGGCTACCCTAGACAGCAAAGCTAATGGTGTGTGATGCTGTGAGCTGGAGTCCAACAACATATGGAGGCCTTCACTTTATCCATCTTGATGTAGGCTAATTCTTAGAAAAGTTCATATTAGATTAAGCCAGATGTAAAACAGCATTTAATTGTAATCTTTAGTTTCCTAACTCAACCCTTTTCCCAGCTGAACATTTCTCCAGAATATTTGTGTGAATATATATGAAAATAACTGAACTGAAACAAAATGTTGCAGTGTGTAGTTCTAAATATAGTGTCCCACACAGTTGGCCACATCCTCTTCTATCCCACTCTGGTCCAACAATTAGCAACTCATGGCCACTGAGCAACTCAGTCCTTGTTGGATTGTTTTCAGGATAACCCCCCACCACTGTCCTCACCTAAACACTTTTTTGTACTTTTCCAAAGTCCCTCAAGCCTACCAATATCTTCTACTTGTGTATGGATGGTGCCCTTTTACTGCATAAAGACTAAGAGATTACTCTCCGTATACATGATGATGGCTAGCAAAAGCAATTCCTACCGAACAGACTGCGGGTGAGAGTGGTGAGAGAGGTTGTCCTGTCCCTGGATGGCTTCCCTCCTGGTCATTAGTGTGGCTGTTCTCTTTAGCTCCTCTTCTGGTTACTGGATGAGTCTGAGATGCATCTGTTTTTCCTTTGCTGGTCTGAGTAACGACTGGTACAAATGCCTGCTCAATCTTGGTATTAACTGCTGCTTCTCCAGTTTTCTGTGGGCTATCTGGACTTGGATGCTGAGAATTTGTTGTTGTAGAAGGCAGTTTGATGTCTGCAAGGCATTTGGCTGTTTCAGTACAAGGAAGTTGTGCAGTGCAGGAATGGGTGATGAGAGGACTGGGGTGTTGTGGTGGGGAAGATTCAGCTAAAATGTGAACTTCCTTCTCTCCTACAGATTCTGACTCTCTCTGTGCTCTGCTGAATTCCGCCAACAACCTTGAAGGAAAAAACAAGAAGCTAAAGCAAAATGCACGAGGATAAAAAGCTGAATCTGGATATCACATCTCTAACAAACCATGTGGCATTTAGGTAATTATCACATGGTCATCAGTCACTTAAAGTCACTTAAAAACGGGACACTAGTTCAGGGTTGGAAATCAAATGCTGTTGGGATTGCAACTCCCACAGCCCTGGCCATCATAAACCATGGTGAAGAATGCTGGGAGATGCAATTCAACATCTGGAGGTATGCGTGATTCCTGACTCAGTATAACTTGCTAATAACACATTACAGGAAAAGAGATTCCACCTTAATATTTGGAAAAACTTCCTGACAGTAAGAGCTGTTTGACAGTGGCACACACTCCCTTGGAGTGTGGCAGAGTCTCCTTCTTTGGAGGTTTTTAAATGGAGGCTGGATGGCCATCTGTTGGGGATGCTTTGATTGTGTGTTCCTGCATGGCAGAGGGTTGGGCTGTATGGCCCTTGGGGTTTCTTCCAACTCTATGATGCTATTATCTTTATGTGAACATTTTAATACAACTGATTCAACACAAATACAAATGGATCATGTACTGAACTGGATACAATTGTTACGATACAACATCTTACTTTTATTTATTTAGACATCATTTGAGGGTGAAATCCACAAACACAGTGAGAATAATGCAGCAGACAGTATGTTGAGACTCAGCCATGAGTTCAAATCCCTTCTTAACTATTTAGTTTTGGATGTAACAGGGACACCCAGAAAGAATTTGCCTAGCCCGTAAAAACAGGGTCTTACTTTGAAAGGCTGTTGTGAAGTTAAGGAACCTCACAAATGAATGCTTTATCTGGTAGATATATAAACTGTAATATCGTTAACCAGCCTCCCATGTCTGGAAGCTTTCAAAATGATTTGAACTAGAATTCCCAGCATCCTTCACCACTGACCATGCTGGTGAGGACTGATGGGAACTGTGGTTCATTTGGAGGGCCACAGGTTAAGCAAAAGTTTCATAAACATTCCAAAGAAAAAGTTGAACAATTACTGTAAAGGAAGTGGAAGACCTCTGAGAAAAAACTTCAGCAAGGGTCAGAGAAAGAAAAATCTCAAAAGAGAATAAGAGAATCACAGAGCTAGGAAAGTCCATAAGGCAGGGGTAGGCAACCTTTCCCCTTTAAGGGCCGAGGGACTTCAGCTCCCAGAAGCCTCAGCCACGTTGGCCAATAGTCCCATGTTGGCCAATAGCTCCTGGGATTCTGGGAGCTGAAGTCCCTCGGCCCTTAAAGGGGAAAGGTTGCCTACCCCTGCCATAAGGTATATCTAGTCCAACCCATGCCATGCATGAATGTGAAACTAAAGTACTCCTGAAATATGCCCATCCAACAGCCATTTGAAGACCTCCAAAGAAGGAGAGTCCACTACCCTCTGAGGCAATCCATTCCATTGTCACACAGCTCTTATGGTAATTCTTCCTAATATTTAGACAGAATGTGAATGGGATGCAGAAGGAGAGGCAGTTGATTTTCACACATTGATTCAGCCAATCAGATATTTGCTGTCCACTGAGATGTTTCCATGGTTTTCATGATAATGGTTTTTTTTTTCTGTCATGGGGGGGGATCATTGCAGAACTAAGGTTTAATAAAGTCCACATCATTCATCCACATACTCACTCTTCAAGGGACTGGTCCAAGTCTTTTCTTGTGGCCACGCCATGTTCAGAGTCATCTGCCTTGGGCTCCTCACCTCTGTCAGGGCTCTGGATGCAGGTTAATGTCCCAGGTAGAAGGCTGTCAGAGCCCAGACTGGAAGATAGTTGTGAGGACCCTGTTGTGCTAATGCTTAAGTTGGATGCCGTAAGTCTGCTCCCCTGTTGGCTTCTAGTGACAGGCAAGATGGCTGAGTGTCCTTCGACTTCATCAGAGCCAGAAGACTGGGAGAGGGAACCCAGTGATTCCTTCCTCCGGGCCGTCAAACCTGTAAGGGGCTCTGGCAGATCTGAGGCTGGGCAAAGGCCTGACAAGGATAAGGGCGTGATGGTCCATTCGTTTAGAACTGCTGACTTGTAAGAGAGGTCAAAAGCCAAGGAGGACAAGCCCTGCAGGTAAGTGAGGAGGAACTCGACCTCCTCAGTGTCCAGAAGCAGAGCTGGTGAATGGTAATACTCAGAGAGGTGGGCCTTTTCATGGAGCAAGAGTTTCAGATAGCACTCCATTAGGCCATCATTCAGAGCCAGCCTGAGCCAGGCACGGCAACGACCCACATCTGTGTTGATGAAGTCCAGGTGTTCCAGTTCAGAAATGATGTTTCTGGGGGGGGGGGGAATGGGAGTAAAAAAAAGAAGGGTAAGAAAGATAAAATAAGCTCTGTGGAAACTGCAGCTCCAAAGATCAATGGGAACCAAGGAGGATTTGGGCTTGCTGGAGCAGATAGGGGAGTAACACATGCTCAAGGCTTCTAAAGGAAGATAGAAATTAACAGAAGAAAACACTAGAGGGTTGTGAGGCAGGTAAGAAAGATGACTACACCATCTCATTATTGCCTGTTGCAGATTCAGTACCAAATATCAAAGTCAGGGTCACCCATGCCATTGTGTTTCTCAATTCCATATTAGGGTGTGGAAGTTAGACAGCAAAGAAAGCTGACAGGAAGAAAATAAATTCATTTGAAGTGTGGGGATGGAGGGGAGCGCTACAGATACTATGGACTGACAAATGACAAATAAATGTGTTTGAACACCGATCAAGCATGGATAATTATTCAAAGCCAATATGACTGAACAGAGGCTATTGTACTCTTAAAGTATCGTGAGATGACATGACTCATTGGAAAAGATGATAATGCTCAGGTATAAGGAGAGAGCCAGTGTAGTGTAGTGGTTTGAGAGTTAGACTAGGACTCTGGGGAACAGGGTTCAAATCCCGGCTCAGCCATGGAAACCCACTGGGTGACCTTGGGCAACTCACACGCTCTCAGCCTCAGAGGTTGGCAATGGCAAACCCCTTCTGAAGGAACTTGCCAACACCCTAATATGGAATGATAGGGTTGCCATAAATCAACAACAACGTAGAAAGCAGTGGATAAAGAAGAAGCCCACACTACAAATGGATTGATTCAATCAAGGGAGCCATGGCCCCCAGTTTGCAAGACCTAAGAAGAGCAGTTAATAATCAGGGCTCATGGAGCTATCTTGCACAAAGGGCCATCAAAGGTTGACAGCTAATAACCGTGACAACTGTTTTAGAACTTAGGAAAAGGACTTTTTTGTTTATAACTCCCACAATTCCCCAGTCACATGGACATGCTAGCTGGAAGATTTTGAACTGCACATAGTTCCAAACATAAAATCCCTTTTTCTAACCTCTGGTCGGAATCCACTTAAGCTCTCATATGGAGAGAGTACAATGCCTATCACCAGCTATATCCCTTTATATTACTGATCTGCAGTTTTTCTATGTTTATGGAAAGATTACATCTGCCTCCACCTTCCCCCATACTCCAAAATGATACTACAGCAGATGAAATTAGTCCATTTTGGTGACAACTGCTCTCTCATCCCCAAAAATGGCAGCCTCACCTGTGCGTGATAGATTTTAGAAGGGCCCAGAATACCGGCTGGGGAAGGGGTAGGCGGCCACCAAGTTTCCTCCCTTTTGCTCCAGTCTCAGGTTTGATGTGCTTGGCCTTCAAACCATGCACAAAAACTGCCTCTAGTGCACAGCAGAGGGTGTTGGCGTCCCCATCATCACTGGTGACAAGAGCATCAGAGGTCACATAATGTTTCTGAAGGGCCTTGATGGAGTTCACCAGCTGCTTCTTGATCAACTACAGTAACACAGAAGACAGACTATATGTTAGGTATGGTCAAGATAAGAGATCTACTTTCCTTCCTCCCAGTTTTATTGGGTATAATGCAATAAAGATAATGCTGCAGCCACCTGCCATGTACCTTTTTTTTAAAAAGGATGAAAAAACATGGCTGGGACAAAAAATTACAACAGTTCTGCATTTGTGTTGGTTTTTAATTTTTAATTTAAAAAAACAAGTTAAGGAGGGTTGGCAAAAATAAAAAAAATCTGCTTCATGTGAACAAGGGTTATCTTGTTAACTGGGTATTATGGAAGCTCCTTAATTCATCATTTGCAAACACACCTAAAGACATGAAGCATTTTTATTTCCGCAAATATGCAGGAATTGTCACTGTAGTCACAAAATATCTCAGATTAAGGAACTCACTGGAGTTTTGGTTTTAATCTGGTTGGATAAAAGACAAAGAAAAACCACACTCAACTAGGAAACACATCTCTAATTCTTAGTTTTCCTTTTGGCATGTTCATCTCAAGGCTAATCATACCAACAGTAACACTGACCAGATTTGTGCTTTGAAACAAAGTCACCAATCTCTTCTAGTGGTAATTATACAGTTAGCTCTCCGTTTTCATGGGAGATCCGTTTCATGGAGACTCAACAATATTCAAGCCCCATTGGCTTGAATGGAGCACACCCTTCATTGAAATTAAAGGTCGCCCCTCTGTGAATATCATACTGTGGTGGTGAACTATAGTTATAAACTATAAACTGGACAACCTTGAGAATTCTGAACATAAATAAGTTTTGCCTGTGACCCACATGCAATGCCTTAAGCCATTTGGAAGCCCCAACTTTTGATTTATACTAAAAATGCTGCCCATGTCTTCTAGGGTGTGTGTGTGTGTGGCAACTTTACTCTACTTTTGCCTGATCCACCCCGAGTCCAACTTTGTTTTGGGCACAGGCAATGTCTTTTATAAATCAGGAAGATGCAGGTCATCTAAAGAGTGATGCAAATTGGTTCAAACAATTGCCATTGCCTGTACAAGTGATCACCTAACTCAGGGCTGCAGAATGTGTGGCCTTCCAGCAGTTGTAGGACAGCAACTCAGGTCCAGCGCCAAAAGTCCAGTGCCGGGATAAGGAAGCATAGATCTAATGCCAATGTGTCCCCCTGACAGCTGTCCATCTCTGGTTTAGTAGCCAAGTAAATGAAGCAATTCTGTATGTTTATCAAGGAAAAACAGGGAATGAAGGAGATTGGTGTTGGCAACTTATCAATAATGTCATTGTCCTGTTTGGAAATTTAGGAGTTTTTACTATGAGCCGTATTCAAAATTAGTCCCCGAGTATGGATCTACTCGCATTCTAGAATTATAGTGCTATTATTCCACTTTACCTGCCATTGCTTTATCATATGGAATCCTGGGATTTGCAATTTAGGGAGGACTATTTAGGGAGGACTATTTAGAATAAGATGGGACCATGGCAGTTAAAGTGGAATCATCTCACTATAATTGTACAGTGTGAATAGGCCCTTTGTTTCAAATCACTTTCTCAGATGACAATGAGCAACGCTCTGAGTGTCACCATCAAAGGAAAGTGAAAGAAGACATATGCTTGTTTCACTGAACCCCCAATGGGATGGAAAGGAGTCATAGAACAATTATTCATATGTGTTATAACCATTTCAAGGTTACACTCAGTCCCTTCTTTAAGAATGTGCTTCAGCTGTTTCACTTCCCCATGGCCAAGGAAGTCTCAACCTCTACAGGCCACCTCAACAACCTAAGCTCACCTGGGTTACTTCCTGTGACCGGCATCCATTCTCAGTGGTGTGGTTGGAATGCATGTCTTATCCCTGCTTCTGCCCAGCTCTGGAATCACATGTTAACCTGCAGAAAAGCAGAGAGAAAGCGAGAAGCCTTAGTTAAATTGGACCCTGAGATAAAATCAACAGGAGCTAAGTAGTTTCTGGTTTGGCTCAAATTATACAGAGAAATGAAGTTTTCCACAATAGGTTTCCCCCTATGAATTTGTCTATCCCTGCCCATGCTGTCAGCTTTGTGCCTTTTGTTACAGCCTGCTAAACTTGCAGGCCACAAATTCACTATTGTATTGTGTGAAGCATCATCATCATTTTGTCTGTACTTCAAATGTGGCCATGCAAATGTTGCCATACTGGATATCTGAATGATGGCCACCCAATACCTCTATTATCAGATAAATAACCTTTGAAAACCAGTTGCTGAGGAACACAAGGAGGAGGGTTCCTGTACTAATGTCACTGCTTTGGGTTTCCCATAGGCATCTGGTGGGCCATGGTAGGAAAAGAAAAGTGGACAGGAAGGGCTATGGGTCCCTTCAAGTCATCTGTCAGCTTAAAGCAACTCCATGAATTCCACAGAGTTTTCTTAGGTAAGGCAATACTCAGAGATGGGTTCCATTGCTTTCCTTCGAAATGTAGCCTACAGCACCTGGTGGTCTCCCTTTCAAATATTAACCAGGCCTGACTCTCCTCAGCTTCTGAGATAAGATAGGATTTGGTGCCCTTAGTATTTATTATCCAGTAGGGCTGGATAAACATAAACAAGACCACAGTTCTCATTTCTATATCAATTAACCTGTAATAAATATATCTAAGTAGAGGTGAGAATAAGAAGGACACTAGAAGAGGACTGGATAGCTCTTGGGCTTTGTGAGAACTAAATTATTTCTCACTAAACCCTTTAGGTCCACTGTCTACAGCCATGTTTGGTGCTCCAGAAAGACGGGGCACAAAATCGCAGAACAAAGTGCCTTGGAGCATGTAGAGATCCCAGCAGTACTGGAGCTCACACACAAATCCTTACAAACAGAAATCTACTCCGAGACTCCAGCCCCAAGCTTTCTTGATTTAATCAACCTCATTTCAGATGCCGGAAGATTGTTCCATTGTTGTTATTGTGAAACCCCTGTAAGATGAATGACTTCAAATCATACAAAGATATGCCAGTAAATCTCAATTTGCCTTCTGCCTATTCTTGCAAGGCTCTTGGGGTGGGGGAACTGGCAGCCTATGCAAACTCCCAGTTGGCCTGGGAGAGGGGTGGAGTGGGGAGGTTACAGGCTGACTGGGAAGAAGAAGCACAGGTTCCACAGACTTCCCATTTCACATTCAAGCCCTAGCACACCACTGATTCCAAAGAAAGGCTTTCTCCAGCCTAATTCCTGCATGAGGTAATGACATTTTCTTGTGTGTATGCTAATTTTCTACTACATTTTCACCCCACCCAGTGAAATAATTGAAGTGAATGTGACAACATAAAATAAAACAATGACAATAAAAGAAATCAGAAAATAATGGGACAAAGACAACTCCTGGAACATTATCCATAAATCAACATCACCATAGAAGGGGCTTCCTGTTCTTGTTCTAAAGTCACAGAGCAGAACCCTGATTTTGTTAAAGCTCCTTATGGTCAGTGGTAGCATCCGTCCAGAAGAGCCCCAAATATCCAGAACACCAGTAAAGTGACGTCTTTACAGAGCAGCCCTCCAGGTAACTCCTGGGCAAATGAACCAAGGTATATGTGGCCCATCCCCATCCATCACACAGGGTCACTGGATAATATGACCAGACACAAAATTCCTTTCTTAACCTTTGAACAGGATTATCATACATGGTCCAAAAACAAGCATCCTCTGAATCTTCACAACAGAAATTTCACCAGAGTGCTCAACAGCCTCTTTGTAGCTTGTCTGTTCTTCAATTCCTCAGGCTGTGATGTACCCATTCATGTATTACAAGTCTCCCTTCCCTCTTGCTCCCCACAACCCCCTTTTACAAGTCACAGACAGGCAGAATAGGCAGGGTGAAAGTTGCTGCTGCTGGTCCTCACCACTAGTCAAGGCACTGACTGAAGCACAGACACTAACCTGCTGCTCTGCTGAAGGCAGATGGAGAGCCTTGGCAGAACCACCGACAGCCTCTGGCAAAATCTTCACCACTATCTGGGGAGAAGCGGGCAGGCAGAAGATTAAGCCCCTTGCCTTCCAGGCTAGACTTGTCACAAGATTTCCTGAACTCTGAACACTGCAACTTTACAAGCTGAGCCACAGGCAGCACTTCTCCTAAAGCTCT